ACCATGTATTAATTGCTAGAATTTCATCAAAGGCTTAAAATTAGCAATTAATTTGATTTTGATTTTTCAATTGGAAGTGGTTTTGTCACAATGTCTGAAGAGTAAACAGCGCCCTTTATGTTAACAATTTACAACATGCATACTGTCATTTTAATTCGATGGTTTGGTGAAGTTTGTGAAACTGAATTGATGTCAGGACAACATGATATTTGTTTCACTTCTAACGCTATAAATCACTAATGATTCCTCCAAAGTATGGGCTATTCGTTTATAAGCATCTACTATCTTCGTACAGTCTGATTGCACTCTTATTCATCGATAGTGTGTGTTATAACCGCATCACATATAATTTTGAATGGCAAGATTCGATTACTGTATATTGATGGCGATTTGTCGTAAAATTCTTCTTTTTCTCGCAGTTATCATCTCTCAATTTGGTAAGTCTTATTTCATGTTAACGTCACAAACGTTGCTTGTTTTTAGCCCAGGCGGAGAATTAGAGAGATGTAACGATGTTATACATGTAAAATGTTAACCAATCAGCGTTGTATTTACAACTTCAAAATGATGTCTAGCTCACAAACCTTTTCGTAAAGATAAACTATCAAAATAATTATACATAATGAAATCCTTGTTGTAAACTCCATTTATTGTTATGTATTGCTTCATGTGCAAACACGTATTAGAAACCATTCGCGCAAGTTAAATGATATACTGGTAAAATAAAATGGGCCATGGTCTTTCATCGTTAATATGTTTAGCAGAGTATGTATTTGATCGATGGCGTAGCTTTAGGAAGTGACACAGGAGGGCATGCCCCCTACCCTGAGGTGAAAAAAAGAGGAAAAAAATGAGGGAGAGAGAAATTGTAAACAGGCAGAAAGGAAAATGTGACAAGAAGAAAGGGAAAAGGACGAGCAAAATGAAAACACCCGGACCACATGTTTCACCCCCTCCTAGTAAATTCCCATTTCATTTTCTGTATACTTCTGATGCCCCAGCCACTCCCTCCTCCCCCACCGTGTCAGTGCCCATTTAGTGGGTGGACTTGCGCTACCCAAATGTTTCTGATGCATGCTATAGCAATATACCAAGTACATTTCCTTTTTAATATGTTTCATTTAACCAATGCAGGAAACCATGCATTTGAGGTGTCTATTCAGACATTCGACTCTCTTCCAGTCATCGGGGAAGACTTCACACTGATCTGCACCTTCACACCGGAAACAAGAAATCGGCGGCTAATTTGGACCAAGGGTAGCAACATTGTGGTTGCCTCTCACTCGTGTGTGTCTTCTTGGGCTTGTACGGGGGCTATCGTTTCTAACCCATCTAAGTTTAGCGTAGCGGCAGACACTACCAGTGTAAATTTAACATTAAAACAACTTGCCAAAAATGACAGCGACAACTATCAGTGCACAGTAAGCGGTTCATATGGAGAAGAAAACTCAGGATCAACTAGCATGCAAGTGACACCATTGTCACCAGGTATGTTATTCATCATAATTAATTTACCCCAGCAATAATCGAGGATAACATATGGCTGATTAATGATATATGAGTTTACTTTTGATTAAAATCTAAATCGAATCTCCTTTATCCTTTCTTTTATTATGTGAACGTCACTACATGCACATTTCAGACAAATACATGTGTCACGTTTGTGACGTAAATGGGCAAGTAATTAACTTGATACATCCCTATCAAATCTTTATTTTTAAGCGTCCTGATAATGTCTTCAACATTTCAGTTTGCAGAATACTGAGTGTTCGCTAGATGCTACCGTACAGGGAGGGGATTATATAATGTTAAATGACAATTGTCTCTAAAATCATATTCGGCAACAACATTAATAAGTTGATAACTTAAATAAAGAATCAAAACATTGCATTGATAAAAGAAACTATGTAAATGATACGTGATGCTTAAATTTTGCCTAATTTTGAATTCATGAATTTTGAAAGGCTGAGTATATTGTAATTTGATTAAATTAGTGAATCCATTACAAGGAAGTAGACTATCAACGACGATTCCTTCTTTTGTCGCCAGTTACGCCCTATTGGCTCGGGATTACTGATGTGGGATCCAGCCGTTATTACCCTAACAACGCCAATTTAACGGTAACTGTAGGTGAGCCGCATGATATCACTTGTACAGTACACAGGGCAAGGCCTCCTGCAGTACTGGAATGGCGTATACCAGATGATGTAACCGTTGTTCTTCTGGATCAGTTTGATGATATACAAGGCAACAAGTATGTCTCTAAGAAGACTGCCATAATCACGCCCTCTACGAATAATCAAGGAAAGAGTCTTCGCTGTATGGCATCACATCCAGAACTACAAAATATTCTTCAGCGCTCAGTTCAATTAAATGTTTACGGTAAGAAACCGTATTAAGTAGGGAGCATGTCTTCTTCTAACTCGATATGCATAATGGCTCCTTTCAGATCGCAATATTATAGCAGTATCGAGGGCAATCTATTTGAATATTAACGAAAGCTTATTCAGGAAATTCATATTTTCTCTGAAAGTATTTATTTTCTATTCATATATTCAAACGTGTAGAGAAAAGATATACATGTACCTTTCATTGAAACGATATTTAGCGTTGTTTTAATGATTTTTTACATGCCTTTTCTTTTTTACTTCATTCTCTTTCACTAAGTTTCATCCTCTAGCATGTTGCTTTTTCCATCTGGAGAAAGCGAAGAATACGTACAAGGATCAACAATAATTAACGTTCAAGAAGATTCAGGTACTAACATCACTTGTAAAACTATTGGATCACTACCAGAAGCTGAGCTATTGTGGAGATTTGATGGCAACCAAAGTCTTCCCAGTAACATAAGCCTTTCGAAGTATCGCAGTGCTTTAGATGGGAGTTTGTTTGACACTGAAAGTACCATCAAGATACATCCAGAAAGGAAACATCACGGAATGTTCATTTGGTGCTATGCATCTCTGGGACGCTTTTTTGATCAACGGTTAGCTAAATTGATGGTTTATGGTGAGTTAAGGTTCAATATGCTGGGATAAGATCTTAATTGAACTTGATCGGACATTTTCTTTACTGAAAGTCCCATTAATCACTTACAGTTTAAAAGACGTGACTGCTTTAATTATTAATATCTACTTAATTTTAACGATAATGTCATTATAGTAAATAATTTGGAGTCACCAGGGAGTGGGGGGGGGGAAACAATTTGGTCTAATAGATTCTATATTTTACAACAGAACAATTTGACTCATCAAAGCTTTTCCCATATCCATATATTTCAATTCTATGTAAAGGCCTACCAGATGATGTTAACATGACTACCCCCAAGAATCTACATGATGGTATACAAACCACTGTAAGCTGCAGAGCCGCCAATGGATAAACAAATGTGACGCATGATTCGTCTCTTGAAACTTCAATGAATGTAGATGATAGGTATGATGCTGGCAGCACCCTTACCCTCGTACCAAAAAGGTTTTATTATGGGAAACCCCTTCTCTGCCAGGCAGTTCAACCTACAACGCACATGATGCGGTCAGTGAATGATAGCAAGATACTAAACATATCGTGTGAGTATTAATTTTCATTTGAACTTTTGGTAAAGACAATATATTAAAAAGATCTCCTAAAGCTGCGTAGAATATTTGTCTTTCAAGTATTATCAAGACTCTTCGATTGTTTTTGTACCCTTATATTCTACACAATGTTTTCCTATATGTATGTAACATTCTGTAAATGCTTGTTACTACCTATGGCAGTTGCATATGGAAAAAAAATCAGTAAAGATAATAATCTATATGTCCATTTGTATATCTACGTTAATTCAAGTCCCATCACAAAAACCTAAATTGACCTACCAGTTCCTATCCTCATCTATACCTATCCTTCTATTTTATATCACGTCTTTTCAAAACGTATTCCGATATATTTATATTATCTAGATGGTCCAGTTGTGTCCGTTTCTTCTCGACGACTAACATCAGATAAAATACGTTCTGGGTTCGTATTGACATGTACCTCAGACGCCAATCCTTCTGCTTTTAACTTCCAATGGTTTTGTAATGGTACACAGTTGTCTAGCGACTACCTTCATATAACACTCTCCGAGACTAGAGCAGAAGGTGAAACACTGTCTTCCAGTGAAGTGGCGATTGGAAACCCCCGGTCCGAAGATCCATGTGATTACATCTGCATAGCTGTTTCAAGATACGGTTCCGGTAGTGCAACCTTTAACTACACGTGTTGTCGTAAGTAGAACTGTATTTATCATTATTTATTTAGTTTCATTAGTGTCTTGTCCATCTGACACTCTATGTTTATTGAATTACATGGTGCTGGCTTTCGAATAAAAACATTAAACTTATATCCATAAACCCCGTCTTCTATTACTCATTAAGGATTCAAGTTATTGAACTGAAGAAACCAGACCGTACCAATTTTGCATTTACGCTTTACCACTGATTAACCTTATAATGCAGTTGTTCCCTATTCACTTTCTTGGCTTATCGTCAACCAAAATCAAACGACATCTTTAACTCTCTTCGTTGCCTAGCAATCTGAATTCAACATCGGGTTACAACATAATTGGCATTATTAAGAGGTCAAAGTAAAATGCTACAACATTTCAATGGTTGACTGATAATATAATTTAATATTTTACTGTTTAAGGTGCTAGTTAGAGTAAGTTTTCGAAACCCCCTTGGCATTTAATGGACAATTCCAATAATGTCATTCAGAAAGATAAATTGCTTTCACTTCCGTAGCGCAAGAGAGAATTTTATATGCGTGTCAGTCACTGTTCCATTCATTCTGCCATTTAAAACCGATATTGCTTCCTCTTCAGTTTTTATCTGCAGATATTCTGGTAAGATGCACGTTGGTTCTTGACACAAACGTCCACGGTTTGAATATACAGGGAGAGACAATCCATTAATGACAATATGAATTATTGTCTTCGAATATTTTTCTTTCTTGCCTTTACCACTTCTAAAACGTATGAAATGAATGTGTCTACTCGTATTTGGAACCCACAAGTCCTCCCAGTCGTTGGAGAGAATATCACACTTGCCTGCATTTATACGCCACCATCCACGTCTCGGCTACTGTCTTGGCAGGATGAGAACGGCAATATACTGGCTATCGATAAATGTCAAGGAGTTGGATGCAGCAACGAGCTAAATGCTCCAGATGTATCAAAGTACAGTTTGAAGGCAGATTCTTCCAGCGGAAATCTAACTATTAGGGATTTAACATTGGATGACAGCGGCAGATACCAGTGCTTAGTAGGCACTTTTTCTGATGCAGCTTCCGATGCGATTGATCTGAAAGTGGTGCTATCAGGTAAAATGTTATGTTGTTAGGGAGTGGAGATTGTGCACATAGTGTGTGCGGGCAAGCACTGAATCCAATGACTGGAATAATAGTATATTTGTAAAGCGCTTAGAGACATTTGTATTAAGTGCTACATAAAAAATAAATATTATTATTATTATTTATTTATTATTTTCGGTATACGTATTCAAAGTTCAATTAAATGTGGTATAATGATAATAGGGTTAGATTTGTGTCACTGTACGAAGAGAGACATTATTTCCAAATATCCTAATGTCATTTGTGACTGATAATCATGCCACTGCAGAAACTGCTATTTTGCTATAATGATAATGGTTCAAGTGTGGTAAATTTGTGTCTCAGATGTCATAGTCTTTGGGAGATATCTCGCTTGATAATGTTATTCTAGGAATTAAAACGGTATGCATGTTTCTTTTCTTCCAGCCGAACCTAGATTGCTATCCATCACTGACGGCCGGACTGAGAATGGATACAAGAATGGAGAATCAGTGAGCATCACATCTGGGCGAACCCACAACCTAACATGTTCAGTCCAAGACGCTAGACCACCTGCAAAACTAGAATGGCACATTCCTGAAGAAGTGCAGGTTCAACTGAAAGATCAGTATAACGCTGTTCATGGTGACGCTTACACCTCTCGAAGAGTTGTTTCCGTAACTCCGTCCAGGGACGATGATGGAAAGGTTTTCCGCTGTGTGGCATCGCATCGAGAGCTGGATAATGAGCTTCAAATATTCATCCAATTAGATGTTCAAGGTGATTATCTTACTAATGATATCATCCCATGTTCGCTCGGTGTGTGTGTTCTACCTAATGGGTGAATATTCCTCCCGGGTGTCAGGATTTTCTTAAATGAATGAAACATTTAACATCTTCTAAATCGTTTCTCACTCTTCTGTATCTTTTACATTCGTGTAGGGAGTCACACGAACGTCACTAGATCCTATGATGCCTTCACCGATATTATACTGTTATTATATTGTTAGCGATATTTCACGTCAGTATTTCTCCTTTCAGTAGCCTACTCCGTATGAATATGTGGGTTCTTATTTTGTCTTCCTACTCAGTACCACCAAATGACCTCCAGCTTACCGCGTATGGATCCATAGCTATCAATGTAACAGAGACACGAAGTGTCAACGTATTTGAAGATTCTGCAACATCATTCACCTGCAATAGTGTAGGATCTCGTCCAAAAGCTGTTATATCATGGATCATTGGTTCGGACGACGACCTAGGAAGCACGACATCTACATCTACCACGAATGAGGCCGACCAAAGTCTACGTGACACGAAGTCCATTCTACAGTTGATTCCAAGGAGGAGGCATCACAATAAACTCCTTCGATGTGTGGCCCATGCTGGTATAAATCAAAGTCACACAGAAGTGAGGGTTATAGTGTTTGGTAAGTATTCGTACGTTGTATTTAATGTTATCTCATCTTCTCTAACTCACAAGAGCTGACGTAATGCGGACTTGGACATACTTTAAAACGTTTAGACATATATATGTACCTGATGTAAAACTATATAATTCGAATAACCGGGTTAACTCATACCACGGTTTGTCAATTCTGCGATAAGATATCTCTAAAGAGTGAAAATGTAGAAAAATATGTAGTGACAAACCTTTGGGACGGCTAAAGCAAATTCCTTTAGATATCAACCGATGTGTTCCTGTTGTCGGAATATTTGAGAGTCATTGGCCATTGTTGTTAAAACATATCATCAGGTTTAATTTCCTGTATCCTGTTTTAAGTCAATAATAAAAACAAATTGTGACATAAGAAATGCACTTTGATTTTCAAGGACCACCGGATTCTCCCTACCTAAGTGGAATGGAATGGTTGCAGGATGGAGTGTCATCAAACATGACTTGCACATCCAACAATGGCTACCCAGCACCAACCTTCCAGTGGTACCTTGGATCGAAGAACGTTACCAAAGATTCTAATACAGAGTCTTCGAGGAATATAGATCATCGACTGGATGCCATAAGCGTTTTAAATTTCACACCCACCGTAGACGAAGATGGTGAACTCCTTGTCTGTCAAGTTGTTCAACGAAACGCTTCATCCGTGAAGTCTTGGAGTGTCAGTGAGATTCTTCATGTTCTTTGAAGTCTGATCTATTTAAGCCAAAATCATTGATTGGGTAGATCTTATTACGAGGCAGGTATATTATGTTGCGTCACCGCCATAGAAACATTACTACCGTTCACATATTTTGTGTTAGCATCATGTGCAGCTGTGAGCCGGCGATTATATTTACTTTTCTATGATTATTTTGAACAGCCAAAGTACGCTTTTTGTTTTACAAACATCACCTGGCTTGATTGTATATCCTTTTACAAAATACTGTTTGTGTTTCAAGAACATTTATGAATTATACATGTTTGGTTCAGATTAATACCTAAGTATACCATATACATGTAGAAAGACCATTCTATGTTACGATAACAGTGCTGACATGCTGGTTTTACACAATATTGGTAACTATTAAAACATGTAATACTTACGCTAATAAGGAACACCATCTCAAATATTATTTCCCTGAGCCTCGCATTATTGTTCCCTGAACGTATTGTGTTCTTTCTAAATACAAACATGTAGATTCTCCTGCCATTGTGGACTACTCTGTTCGTCGGGTTTACATTGGTCACCACAATGTTGATGCCATGCTTACATGTATTTCAGAAAGCAGACCCCTAGCCTCAATAACCTGGTTCTTGAATGGCAAGGAACTCATCAATGGCACCCGCCATCACATTCACCACAGTCATCCACAAGAAGATACCTTAAGGTCGAGTATTCTGATTATTGTAAATATTTCGGCAGAAGACGATTGCAACTATACATGTTTGGCTGCTACAAGGCTTGGGAGCGACAGGGCAACAATAACATTTTCATATTCTGGTAAATCGTTCACTATCAGACCAAGGCGCATTTATTATTTAAAATTATTGTGTCCTATTGTTAAGATAACACATTGCCTGGTACAGTGCTGTACCAATTATAATCCAAGATAACAAATGAGAACAGTATCATACTGCTACGATTGTATAACCTAGGTATTGAGATGATAACCCAGTTACAGTAACTATCGGGAAATGTTACGGTAGATTACTTTGTCGACCTTGATGAAATATTAAACAAAATCCGAATGAAAATTGATATGGGGTTTCAGTCGGGTTGAATATTGTAAAACTGCCTAAAAAATGGGTGAACGTAAAGCGTAGTGTTAAGGGAAGGATTAAGTTTAGGTAAAGGGTTTGGCCCAGGATAAAAAAAAGAGGTGATCGGGTTGTCGCCGGAACATGTGACGTACAGTAGTCACTACGACAGTACGATATAAAATTATATCCAAATAAATTGTATTGCTTGGATACTTGCTGATTTTCGGGTAACAAATATGTTGTCTCTGTCATTGATACCATCTTTTAGAAATTTCCCCCAGGGATTCCAGATCCGCCTTATGAGTGCACCGTCGATCAAAACCAGACGACATCATCTACTCTCTTCGTTGCTTGGCAACCTGGAATCGATGATGGGTTTCAGCAAAATATCACTTTAGAGTATATTACTAGGGAAAATCATCATTAGAGGATATATATCTATATCGTGAAATACAATATATATGTAGTTAGTATTTTTAAACATAATTACTCTAACAAATAGCGTTATGCCTATACATTTAAAGATAAGGCTAATGAGTACAGGTTGCCTTGACCTAAATAGCACACTCTCTCGTTTGGATGTGGACATGATGATACACTCATTAATAGATTTTACTTAATTTATTCATTTAATTCATGGTATAATATAAATCGTTATTAGTAGTCAACGGCTGAATTATTCACATTTTACCAAGATATTTTTTAAAAATCCATAAAGTACAATTATGCAAATGGTAAAATTATACAAACAGGAGATGATAATCATGGTAGCTTGACCACCGAGGTTTATATAATTAACAAAAATAGTACAATTAATATCAGTCATAAAAGATAATTCGTAATTCAATGGAGAAGAGGTATTTTCGATTGTGATCAAATTTGTAAAGTATTTAACTCTCATCGTGCCACAGGGCTAATCCCCACTGTGCCAGGTTGTTTTGGAGATAATCTGATTAACGCGATGGTTCTATGAATGGCAAGTGCAAAACACACAGCACAGACCAACGAACATGAACAATAACTGCTATTACTAAAGCGCCCTTGCACGCACATGGCACTCAATAGGTAGCGTGCATGCAGCCTCATGGCAGGCTATGAGTTAAAATAAGTTCAAAAGATAATAACATTATAAGCAAAGTTCTGAGTATTTAAATGTGAAAAATATTGCACAACTATAACCCGTTTAAGTGGTCAATAAAGTAAGTAATTATATGCATGGCTTGAATAGTGTGAACGATTTTAATATTGTATTATAATTTAATCCTTTTTTTTATACTATGATCTAATTAATACTAAACAACTAAAAATGTGGCGACATAAACGCATTAAACCGAGGATAATTGGATATTGCCGGTAGACATATTTCTTTCCCTAAGTTTATTGCCGAAAGATTTATAATATAATCAATTAAACCGATAACTAAATAACTTGAACAATCAAAAGGTGGTATCGTTGTCTCGTCCTCACAATCAACTATCCCATTAAAGGAGTTGTTACATATGTAAACGTTGTATCATCCGCTCAATCTGACTTGCGTAAATATAACAAATAAGCACTTTTCCATGAAAAGTGAAGTTTTCTAAAATGTGCGTTTCTTTCCAGCATTGGGGTACCCGGAAGTCACTCGGGTAACATTTCATAAAGTATAATATAAAAAGACCATGTGCAAATTGTTTGTACTTTTGTCGGAAAAATATATTTATCCAGCCCAATGTCGTCTTTTTTTGCGTTGGAGAAGAGCAAATAGCGAGTTTCAATCACACTTTGGCCGCTCTTGCAGGCTCTCACTCGTTTCACTGTGGACAAACGACTTTGGGGCCAGCGGTTAATGAAGATACTAATAGTTAGCTTTCTTCTGGTATTAAACTTGTTTTGATTGATTGTATAATTTTGTCGGAATAAAGGAAACAAAAAGGCTTGATCAATAACTTATCAGCGTGTGAATTGACCTTTTAACCTTGAATTCCCTGATGCAAGCGCACATAAACAGGTTCTAATAACGTCATCTTCGCTAAATCGATGTCTTTTATCGTAAAATGCTACACTTTCACAATGTTTATACACCTTTTTTTTAATTATTAGTAAGATATGACATATTTTGTCTGATATAACTGAAGTTTAGGGTTTTATTTAACGAGTACTTTTAAAATAAGAGCCATTTTACTGTTTTTATTTACTGGATCGTACCATAAAAGTCGCAGGGTAGAAAGATGAATTTTCCAACCGCCCCAAATTTAATTTTAGTTCCGACATTCTGTTAAACGGGTTCGTGTTTTTGAGAATCCACTGCTTTCTGCTCCACAAAACTCGTTTATCAACTAAATTATTCAAATTTATGGATGCTTCCTTCCCAGGTGTTTGTGTTCTTGAAGCATTTTATTCACCTGCTATACTTCTTTGTACTCCAATTGCCAGAACGCAAATTACATTTTGGTTTTAAAGTTTCATGCGGAGTCGTTTATCAAATATATGTATTCAAATTTATAAATGCTTCCTTCCCAGGTGTTTGGGGTGTTAATGCATTTCATTCACCTGTTATTATTCTTTGTACTCAAATTGTAAGAATACAAAATGTATTTAGTTTTTATAGTTTCATTCAATAGGTAAGTCAATAAAAGAGTTTGTTCTGCACAATACAAACAATGTGTGTCCCTATTGTACAATGTAATGTGTCCCCTCATTGTGTAATAGTTAATTTACCCATTCACATAATGGAACTACCTGCCCGATGAAGCCAGTAGCTCGTGACCTCTGAGCACTCAACACCGTGTGGGAGTCAGTTTGTGGTCAACTTCTTTTTATGAGACAAATCCAAGCAAATATGTTTTTTTTTTCCATTTTACTTTAATTGTGCATTCCCGAGTCAAATGAGGTAGGGGAGAGGACTTATTTATAGGGGCTCCGTTTTGCAAAAAAAAAAGGAATAGGTTTGGACATTTTGCAATGATGAGAATATGAAAATGATCGCTTCTCCCATCTTGCAAAGAGTGTGCACAGTCCTAATTATTAGGTTAGTGTTCGTTAGTAATAATAAGTTGGAAACTATGAAGGGTGATAAATTAAGGGAGACTAAAGAAAGACGGTTAAGAGGGAGAGGGAGACAAATAGAGATAAATAGAGAGACATATATATATATATATAAAGAGAGAGAGAGAGAGAGAGAGAGAGAGAGAGGGAGAGAGAGAGACAGAGGGGGAGAAAGGGGAGAAGAATTGAGTACGTGGGTATTAAAAGAGACATGAATCCGCTAGGTGTCCTAGAAAAGTGTACAAGTAGGATACAAAGAGACGGAACAATGGGCAAGGGGTAGAAATAGACAGGGGAAGAGAAGGAGGATGGGATTGAGAGAAAAAACAAAGATAGAGAGAGAGAAAGAAGGTGAGAATAAGAGATCATTTATATCTTCGCATGAGTATATACATAGTAATCTTGTACGCGATAATGTGTCCGGATAGCATCAACATCAACAAAGTTCCTTTACAAATATTGTATTGGTGGTGCTAGTGTCTATTCGGCATTCAATTGATTTTCTTGTTTCAAACCTAAGTCCTGACATAAATCTGGTAGGTGGGTGTTTTGATGTGCTCTCGGGATCATTCTTGCGAGCCAATCGAAAGGCATTACCAGTCTATCTAAGAGTCTATCTAAACAGTTTATCAGACAGCATCACAATAGTCGAATAGTGGCATTGCGAGGGAGGTACATAGTAACTTTACCACCGAACTTGGAATTCGTTGGAGAGCTTCGAATAAAACCAATTTCTTTGAGTTTTGCTTTGCCATGACGTAAACATGGCACCTATATGACATGTGTTCGGCTAAAAAGACAACTAAGTATTAACACAAAAACATGGAGTGACTGAAAGACGATTAGATTTGGTATTATATGCACCATATACTAATTGCTACAATTACATCAGAATCCTATGGAAAACTTTTAAAATTACTTTTATCTTGATTTTCCAATTTGAAGTGATTTTGTCACAATGTCTAAAGAGAAAGAGCGCCCTTCTTGTTTAATCATTTACAGCGCGCATAATGTCATTTTAAATCGATGGTTTAGTGAAGGTTGTGAAACTCAATCGGTGTCAGGACAAACATGATATTTGTTTCACTCCTAACGCTATAAATCATCAACAATTCCTCCAAAGTATGTCTATTAGTTCAAATGCATTGCTTTCATAATCATCGATAGTGTGTGTTGTAAGCTCGTCAAATAAAATTTCGAATAGCAAGACTCGATTGCAGAATGTTGAAGGCGATTTGTGCTAAAGCTTTACTTTTTCTCTCTGTTATCATCTCGAAATCTGGTAAGTTTAATTTCATGTTAAATTTATAAAAGTCGTTCGTACTAAGCCCGGGTGAAGAATTGGGGAAATGTAACAACGTAAAAATTATATTTATTCAATAGACGTTGCATGCATGTTTTCGAAATGCTGTCTATCTCATAATAATCCACTTACATTTTTACTCTCTGCATTTCATGATGGAAGTATATAGATAATAACATTATCAAATCAGTATGATTGTATGGCAGTTCCGACATTGGCAACAAACATGGTTATAAAGCCAAACTATCGAAATCATTTTACAAGCTCAGATCTATGAGGTGCATCTCATTTATACTTAGGCAATGCTTGGCATGGCAGACACGTATTTAGAAGTATTCGGGACAATTGATTAATATACTGGAAAGTTGGTCCATCGTCATCCATGGCTAATGTGTTTGCCTGAAAAATTATTTGAACAAAGTTACAAGGGTAGGGTACACCTCTAATCCATTAGTGAATAACAATTGAAAGAAAGAAAAACAAAAGCAAGATGAAAGAGAAAAAGAAAGAGGTAAAGGGAAGAAGGACAAGAAAAATAAGACGCCTAGAACCCCCCTCCTTATAAATCAGTAGTCCTCCCCCATGGGTCCAGTACCTCTTAAGTGAGTTGGGCTCACTCGACGCCACTGTATTTGTTACATGCTTTATTCAATAACCTGGGTTTCTTTCATTTCACTTTAGCCCATACAGGATACCATGCATTTCAAGTTTCGATTCAAACAGGTAACTCTCTACCAATCATCGGGAAAGATTTTACACTTGTCTGTACCTTTATGCCGCAAACCAGGAACCGACTTGTCATTTGGGAAGGGAGTGGTTATCTTAATACGCTGGCCTCTCACGACTGTCAGGAACATCTTTCTTGTATGTTGACTGTTATCGACCAAAGGAAATTCAGCTTGTTAGCAGACTATTACAGTGTGACTCTAACAATAAAACAACTTGAACAAAATGATGAAGACAATTACAAATGCACTGTAAGCGATACGGTTGGGTCAGCGAATCTAGGATCATCTAGCATGCGAGTAACTCCATTAATACCAGGTATACTATTCATAAAAACAAACTACAAAGCACCAGTAAACGATACCGTATTCATTCATACATAACACTGTGGCAAACAGTACAAAGAGGGTCTTCAAGTATTACATTCTACACAAAATTGGCGTGTTCAAAACTTGATATATTCTGCAAATAGTTCGATAAAACAATCACCTATATTGATTTGAAAATGTATCTAAACATTCGGCTACAAAGTAACTTACACGTCGACACCAACAAAGTGATAGTGAAATGAATAATTCAATGATATGTGATATTCCAATATCTTTTTGTTGAAGTTGTAATCTTTGAAAGCTTGTGATAACAGTCAATAGTAATTACATCCCAAGGGTTTAGACTATCAGATAGAGCGAGTTATATTGGAGTTGGGGTTTTAATCATAGATATTCCCTCTTGTGTCGCTAGCCCCACCCAGTTGGTTCATTATCACTAGTGTAAGATCGAGCAGCTACCTGAGCAACACCAGTGTTACGGTATCAGCTGAACAGCCGTACGACATCACATGTGAAGCATACGGAGCAAGACCTCCATCGTTACTGGAATGGCGTATACCAGATGATGTAACCGTTGTTCGTCAAGATCAATCTGATGTCGTACGAGGCAAAAGCTATGTCTCTCAGAACACTGTTACAATCACACCATCTAGGAATGAACAAGGAAAGAATCTCGGCTGCGTAGCGTCACATCCAAAACTACACAATGATCTTCAACGCTCAGTTCAACTGAATGTTCAGGGTAAGTAAATGTGTTTAGGTAGCATGTCTTCCATGTAGTTATGTGGTGTATTGTGTTGTATTTCTATTTATGTACTAAAAATCGAGCAGTTTCTGGGCCGAAATATCAAAAAATGTTTAGATATGTTTATTCACGAGATTCATATTTTTTTCTACAAGTATTTTATTTCCATCCATATGTACAAACGTATTAAATATATATCCTAAAAACAATATCTAGCGTTTCTTACATGCTTTCTTCCCAATTTCTCTTTATTAAGTTATTCCCTCTAGCCTGTTGCTTTTTCTATCTGGAGAAAGCGAGAAAAATGGACAAGGGTCAACCACCATTTACGTTTATGAAGATTCATTGACTTCAATCACTTGTAAAAGTATAGGATCTCTACCAGCAGCTGAACTATCATGGAGACTTGACGACAACAAAAGTCTTCCCAGTAACATAAGTCATTCGAATTATCGCAGTGCTGTAGATCAAAGTTTGTTCGACACCGAAAGTACCATCGAGATGTGCCCAAAAAGGAAACACCACGGGATTTACCTTTGGTGCTATGCATCTGTGGGAGATTTTCTTGATCTACGGGTAGCTAAACTGATGGTTTATAGTGAGTTCAGGTTCTTTAATATACCGGTATGCCATTACTGAAAGTCCCATACATCACTTATAATTAAAAAGAGGTGACTGTTTTATTTATTAATATATACCCGATTTTAACGAAATTATCATTATAATTATAACTAAATTCGCATCTCCTTGGACTGGGAGGGGAAATAAGGATTGTTTGTCAGCATGACCCTCGTGTCTTTTCTCACCACTGTATAACGTAATATCATATTTAAGAGTTTATATATCTAACCAAATGAAAATTTGAGCCATCAAGGTTTTACCCATAACCAAATATTTCATTTCTATAAAAAGAGGTGACTGTTTTATTTATTAATATATACCCGATTTTAACGAAATTATCATTATAGTTATAACTAAATTCGCATCTCCTTGGACTGGGAGAGGAAATAAGGATTGTTTGTCAGCATGACCCTCGTGTATTTTCTCCTCGCTGTATAACTTAATATTATATTTAAGAGTTTATATATCTAACCAAATGAAAATTTGAGCCATCAAGGTTTTATCCATAACCAAATATTTCATTTCTATATAAAGGCCACCCCGATTGTGTTAACATAACGAAACCAGAGGACCTACAAGATGGTATAAAAAACAATGCAAGCTGCAGAGCTGACAATGGATACCCTGCTCCGCTCATCCATTGGTACATCGGAACTAGAAATGTGACACATGATTCGTCTCTTAAGACTTCAATGAATGTAGATGATCGGTATGATGTTGAAAGCACCCTTACCCTCATACCAAAGAGGTTTGACCATGGGAAGCATCTTCTCTGTCAGGCTGTTTATCCCACAAGACCCTCCATGCGGTCAATGAATGATAGCATGGTCCTGAACATATCATGTGAGTATTAAGTTCTAAGTGAAAGAAATTGGTAAGGAAATTGTATTATCGCGTAGGATATTGGTCTGTGTACGTGTTCATCAACTATCCTCAAGTTTTTTTCAATTCTGTTTTTTTCCTTTTACTTCAACACACTTTTGTTTCTACGTTTTCCTATCTGACATCAGAATATATATGGATAACGATCAGTCAAAGTAACTGGCTATAATGTCAATAACTCTCTTTTTTCCTGTAAACATTGGCAAGTGTAATTCAGTCCGCTGCTAATAACTTTGATTTAAGTCCAATTCACACCCTTATCTCTCGTTCTATTTTCAATATTTTTCTTCAATCTAGATTATCCAGTTGTGTTCGTTTCTTCCCGACGGCTTACATCAAATAAAGAACGTACTGGGTTCGTGTTGACATGTACCTCAGACGCCAATCCTCGTGCTTTTATCTTCCAATGGCTCTGTAACGGCATACAGTTTCATAATGGCACTCGTAACGAGACTTTCCCCGGAGGTAAAATGCTGACTTCCAGTTTAGTGGCGATTCGAAACCATCTGTTCGGAGATCCATGTGACTACGAATGCATTGCTCTTTCAAGTTTTGGCTCCGGTAGGACAGTCTTTAACTCAAGTTTTTTTCGTAAGTAGAACTGTTCTTATTTTATTTATTCATTTTCATTGTATCTTTAGGCCCACTTGTGTCTTGCCGAGCTGATTCTCTATGTTCATTTAATTAAATGGTGCTCGCTTCCAAATAAATATCAAGAAAAACATTCAACTTATATCTATGAAACTAAAACCGTATTTTAATATCCTTAATAATTCAATTCATTGACCAGAAGAAACCAGACCCTACCAACTTTGTATTAACACTTTACCACTCATTAACCTTAAAATGCAGTTATTCCCGATTCACCTTCTTTGGTTACCGTCGACCAACACCAAACGACATCTTCAACTCTCTTCGTTGTCTTGCAATCTGGATTTAATATCAGAATACGACACGATTTGCATTATTAAGGTTCAAAGTTTTCAAAACCCCCTTTTCATTTAAAATGGACCATTCCACTTATGTCCTTCAGATAGATGAATTGTTTTCACTTTCGTAGCGCAAGAGAGAAGTGAATAATCATACCAGCCACTTGTCTATGTGTCTACTCACTCAGTCATTGCTAACCGTTAGTGCACAACGTTCATTTTTTAATTCTCCAGATATTCTGTTAGGTTGCTAGATCGTTCATGCAACGCACCTCAAATGTTGAAATATCCAAAGAAATGAGACATAACAGCAATATGGACGAATATTTTTATATATTTCTCTACCTCACCTTCATCGTTTCTAACACAAATGAGATTAGCGTGTCTACTAGTATTCATAATTTAGATATTCTCCCAGTCGTTGGTGAGAATATAACACTTGCCTGCATCGTCACCACTCCATTGACATATCGCCAACTGTCTTGGATTGACTGGAATAACAAAATCCTAGCTACTTGTCAAGGAATGGGATGCAGAAACGAGCGAAATGTCACAGATATGTTTAAGTACAGTGTGAGGGCAGATTCTTCCAGTGGAAATCTAACTGTTAGGAATTTAACAGTGGATGACAGCGGAAGATATCGGTGCCTAATTTTCACATCTTCTGATTCATTTACAAGTGGAAATGAACTGACGGTACTGTTATCAAGTAATGTATTCTAAGATTATTCTAGATGGCTTAATCTAGTCATGATGTATGCAAAATTGCAATATATATGATTTATTACTATTTCAAAATCAATAAAACATCCGATTTAAAAAAAATAGTAATGTCAGGTGTAGCATCATCAATAATTTGTACTTTAATTGAGTTTTATCCTTGGCTGAAAATAATACAAACCATGGTATTTTACAAATAGTATTGATTTTGTGATATTTTTTGTTTGTTTATACACAAATTTGTCTTAGAATTTGGTAAACGAAACATATATGCTAGTGTCAATTATTTATAAATATCTACGTTTTGCTTCATTTCCAGCCACACCTAGCTTCCTATCCATCACCGATGATAAGTCTGAGGATGGATACAAGAATGGATCATCCGTGAGCATCATATCTGGGCGAACCCACAACCTAACATGTTCAGTCCGAGACGCTAAACCACCTGCAAAACTGAAGTGGCTGATTCCTGAAGAAGTGCAGGCTCGCCTGGAAGATCAGTATAACGCTGTATATGGTGACGCATACACCTCTCGGAGAGTTGTTTCTGTAACACCGTGCAGGGACGATGATGGAAAGATTTTTCGGTGTCTGGCCTCGCATCGGGAGCTTTATAATGAACTTCAAATGTTCATCCACTTAGATGTTCAAGGTGATTATTTAACAAATGATACCATCCCATGGTTTATCGATGTGTGTGTGTGTGTGTGTGTGTGTGTGTGCTCTGCCCAACTGAATATGTTTCTAAATTTAAGGATTGTCTAAAATTGATTAAACATTCAGCATCTTCCAAAACACCTTTTACTCTTCTGTATTTCTACATTCTGGTACGGAATCATAACATCGTCACGTCATGATGCTTTTACCACTTAAATATTATTGGCATATTGTTAGCAATAGTTCACCTCTGTATCGCTCCTTTCAGTACATGACTTCGTACGCACATTGAGGTTTCTTACTCTCCCCACTCAGTACCGCCAAGTGACCTCCGGCTTACCGCCTACGTGTCCATAGCCACCAGTCCAACAGAGACAAACAGTGTCATAGTCTTTGAACACTCGGCAACATCATTCACCTGCAAGAGTGTAGGATCTCGCCCTTCAGCTGTTATATCATGGATTATTGGTTCGGACGACGACCTAGGAAGCATGACATATACATCCACCAACAATCTGGCCGACCCAGGTTTACGTGACACAACATCTAATCTACAGTTAATTCCAAAGAGGAGGCATCACAATCAATTTCTCAGATGTGTGGCCGATATTGGTATGAACCAACTTCAAACAGAAGTGCGGGTTATCGTCCATGGTGAGTATTCGTAAGTGGTATTAACAATCCTCTCTAATTTACATAAAAGAAAACCAAATGCAGTCTGTGACATACTGCGACACACTTGGACATTGGTTTATATCACATGTGCAACTTAACATTTTGAATATAGGGGCGACTCATAACATACTTTGACTTTTCTGCAGCAAGTTAATTTTAATGAAGTGAACATTGTGGAAAGCCTTTAGTAACAAACTTTGGTGACAGCTCAAGCAAATTCTTAAGATATCAAACGATTTTTATTTCTTGTCAAAAACTTGAGTTACATAGGTACTTGCTTTATATATCTTCGTCAGGTTTTAGTTATTGTAAAGCTGTATATGTGATAAGTTACTTGGACTTATAATCTAAAATATGGCATATGAAATATATCTTGACTTCCAAGGACCACCCGATCCTCCTTACCTTGTTGGAACAAAAACATTGCAGGAAGGAGTGTCATCAAATGTGACTTGCACGTCGGACAACGGCTATCCAGCATCTACTTTTCAATGGTACCTTGGATCAAAGAACGTCACCAAAGAGTCTAATATACAGTCTTCGAGGAATCGAATTCATCGAGTGGATGCTACAAGTGTTTTTTATTTCACTCCCACGGTAGACGATCATGGAAAACTCCTTGTCTGTCAAGTTTTTCAAGCAAACGCTGCATCCATGAAATCTTTGAATGTCAGTGAGGTTCTGCATGTTCTATGTAAGTCTGATTTATGTTAGCCTTACCCATTCATCGTGTAGATCTTACCACGAGACATGTATATAACGTTTCCTCACCGCTAACAAATTATTACCATTTGCGTTACTTGGTAAGCTGACAATATCCATTGTCCATGTTTATATTGAACAGACGATGGTACGTTATTTGTTTCACCAAACAATCAGCTGGTTTATTCGTACAAATAACTGTTTGTGATGCAGTAACATTTCTGAACCCTCTAAATCTTTATTGAAACATCAAGATTGGTAAAGATTAATATTGAAGGATAACATAGACCTGCAGAAAGACCGTTCTATTTCAGTCTCATGGTTCTTATATGTTAGCTTGACAACAAATAATTTTTTCCTGAGCCTCGCTTGATTGTAACCTGAACGTATGTTCTTCTTCCTAAATACATACATGTAGATTCTCCTGTCATTGTGGATTACTCTGTTCGTCGGGTTTCCAGTGGTCAAAAGAGCGTTGATGCCATTCTCACATGCACATCAGATAGCAGACCCCTGGCCTCAATAACCTGGTTTTCTAATGGCGCGGAGATCAACAACAGCAACCGCCATCAGATTCACCACAGTCTTCTTCAAGAAGATACCTTGAGGTCGAGTAATTTGGATATTTCTAATATTTCGGCAGAAGACGATGGCAACTATACGTGTTCGGCTGAGACAAGGCTTGGGAACGACAGCGCAACTATAACCTTGTCATATTCTGGTAAATCTCTTACTATCAGACCGATGCGCATTTATGTATTATATGATCATGTCATATTGTTGAGATGACACATTGCCTGGTCCAGTGCTGTGCTATTGATAATCCCAGATGACAAATAAGAACAGAATCATACTGTTATGATTATAATTATAACCCAGGTTATGAGATGATAACCCAGTAACTATTGGGCAATGTGAAACTTGTCTTTAGTGCGGTAGATTACTGTGTCGACTTTTAGAAACAGTTGATGGTTGAAGGGTTGATTACATGTCCGACAATGTTCTGGTGAAAATTTATTTGAGTATTACTTTGCCGATGGTACCCTGTGAAGGTACTGCCTGTAAGTTTGGTTAATCTTAAGTGAAGGGTTATGATTAGGGTTAAGTTTAGGTATAGGGTTTGACCTAGGTTTAAAATTTAGAGTTCTGTTGGTATACGAAGTGATCGCGTTGTCGCCAGAACATTTGACGTACAGCCGTCAGCCCGTCACTACAACAATACAATATGATATTATATTCAAATTAATTATATTGGTTTGATAGTTGTTGATTTGGGGGAACTTCATATATAGAAGAGTTCTTCCTTAGAACATGTAATGTGTACCGTATTTAAACAAAATCTTCCAGGGAGTCCGGATCCACCGTATTGGTTCATCGTCGATCTAAACCAGACGACATCATCTACTCTCTTCGTAGCTTGGCAACCTAGAATCTGTTTGTTTTCTGCAATATTTCCCTTTACATTATAATACGAGGGTTTCGGTATTGATCCTGATTTTACACGTTTCCTTGAGATTTGCTAAATATCTCACATGTTTTTCATGAAAGACGTTATAGTTGTAACCAACGAATTTTATTCGTGTATTGTAATGTATTGTATGTATGTGTTATGTTTTTGTATGAAGCAATGAAAATAAGTTGACGATTTCTACATTTGTAATGCTTCCCCTTTGTTGGTACTGTAAATCTATACATGTTTATGGTTAGGCCTAAGTACTATATAGACCGTGTGTTACATGCCTAATACAGGACTTGAGTGTACTGAATTCAATTCAATTTTATTTTATTCAAGTCCATTTAAAAAAAGTTCATTGAAAAACAGTGTACATTGACAACATATTTACATGTAGGATTCACAGTATACATTGAACTTTAAACATACAATTAAAAAGAGAAGTAAAGACAAGAGTAAGAAATCAAGGAAATAGATAATGAACATGAAATGGAAATTGCCAAAGAACCAAATAAAGGTTCTGTCGAGGCAATTCCCAGCTTATTAAAATACCGAAATTTGTACTGATAAAGAATTAGAAAAGCATAGTGACATTACGGCAAAAGAGTTTAAAAGTTATGGAAGTTTAAAAGTTAGGATGGATTAATTATTTTGTAGAGTTTGTGAATAAAAAAAACCTTAAGTTTTGATTTAAGAGAATGAAGAAACGAAATTGATTTAATATAATGGGGAAGAGAGTTCCATGTTAACGGTCCTTTTGATTTGAAAGAAAGAGATGATGCTGTATTTTTAGATTTGTCTACATAGTAATTTTCCGGATTTCTGGTATTATAATTATGCATATCTGTTTAACATTTAATAATAGAGACAAGATTATATGGCATTGTGTTATGCTTATGTTTAAATACCATGGGCCTTGTTTAGTTTTTTTTTAAAGGGTTTACGTTACCCTATATGACATTTGTTACGATCTTTAGTGTTTAATGACAACTTAACATTGTCGCTGTAAATATGTATGAGAATTACAAAACAGAAATATGATTACTTATCGAGGAAAAACGTAAATAAATCTCGTTACTTCTATATCGTTAAAGAACGATATACATATATTTTTGTATATTTATATCTAATCTTTTTGAAGTAACAATTGAAAAAAAGTTTCATGCCGATACATTGAAAGATAAATGAATACGGCTCAACTTAAACCAAATAGCAAACTCTGTCGTTTGGATGCGGACAGGGTGATTCACTCATTAATATATTGTACTTTATTTATTTATGTATGTATACATGGCATAATACAAAACGTGGTTAGCTGTCATTGGCTTGATTGTTTAAATATTTATAACAAATACATTTTGAAAGTACACAGAAGGCAAAAATGAAAATAACGTACCAAATGATAATAAGCCTGCAAAGACCACTGTGGTTTAAATATTTTAAAAACAAATATAACAAACAATATAAGTAGACAAAAACATATTTCATAATTCCATGGAGAAAAGTAATTGCATTTATAATCGATAAATTAGTTGCATCATTCCTATCATTCTTTCCACCCTCTTCTTCCCTTGCTCCCCCCCCCCCCCCCCCCTCTTTCTCTCCCCTCCCCGTCTAGCACGTGGGATGTTTGTATTTATTTCAATCATTTAATAACGAATAGTTCAAATTTAAATTATTTTGAATGAGGTGAACATGGAATATAATTACAATTAATAATAATGATTGATTGTAGAATATAAAAACATATTGCAAAGTTGTAATCCTTAAAGTGGTCAGTAAACAATCTCATTTTATGCAGGGCTTGGATGGAGTGAAAAAAAATGTATATATTGTGTTATTATCTAAGACTGTACAGTTTGTATATTAATGTAATGAACAATAAGTTAGTTAGAAAATATGGCGAAATCAACGCATTAAACCGAGGATAATTGAATATTGCTGGGAGAGTTTATCCAAGTGTATTTCATGACAAATTTATAATATTATTGGTCAAATTAATAGCTGACTAACTAAAACAGTAGGTGGAATAATTGTATACTTATAACAATCAATGTTCCCCCACTTAACTCTTTATGCGCCACTTAAAAAACCCCCCTGTGCCACATTCTTTTAGGGTCACACATTTCGAGGGAATCTTTATTGACTCTGCTGAATCAAGAGGCTATAACTCTTCACTGGATGATCATGATGAAAAATATTGTGCAGCAAAGTTGTAGACCGGAAAACGTGCTTTTCGATGAACCGTCATTTGTTATATTTTGAATTATCATTTTTATAATAATCATAATTATATAATGTTTAATTTTTCTTATTTACGGCAGTTTTTTATCCCTCTAGAATTTCTTATTTAGCAATGATAAGACATCTTCAAATCGAATCTATTAGAAAGGTGGACTTCTTACCTTTCTTTACATACCTTGCTCAAGTATTCTAACAATTCAGAAGGTTAGTATTTAGGTTGTTGAAGAAAAGAAGTTCAATAGGGAGAGACTTGAAAGTACCCCGCTCAGCCACCCTTGACAATGGGCTAATCTGCCCATTGAAATCCCTATTACCCCAGGTTATTGTCAATGTCCGGTTTAGCGGGGCATGAAAAGGGACGTCGTGGGGATGTTTTTCTTTGTTGTGCCATGATAAGTCAATAAGAAATAAGAGAATGTTATTGATTTTGCCCACTGGTATGAGCATGTAACAATGGTATAGGCATAATATATTATATGTGATATACATGACATAATCAGCATCTTATTGAAATGTCTCATTATGAATGTTCACCGCATCTGTTCTCTCACCTTCTTTACCCCTCAATAAAATTGATTTCAAGTACATTTATCACAGCCATAGATATACAAAGAAAGAATGAATCAATCTTAAAATATAAACTATATTGCATTGTTTTCCATTTACTTTATTGTGAGAGAGCTTATTATCAGAAATGATTGACGAGTGGAGTATGCAATGAATAAAATATGGAGAACGGACGTGAGAGACATTATGAGAGAGAAATAGTGATATGAAATGAAAGGACTTTACTGTGAATAAAGATTATAAGAGAAAGAGATAAAGATGACGGCAAGACAGGATACATATTGATACGAAAATAACAATAATAATGAGATAGAGATGACGGAAAGAAAGAGAGTAAACACTGATAGCATAAGAATGAATAAAGATAATAAGAGAAAGATATAGAGATGACGGCAAGACATAGGGTACATATAGATAGGAAAATGATAATAATAATAAGATAGAGATGACGGAAAGAAAGAGAGTAAACACTGATAGCATAAGAATGAATAAAGATAATAAGAGAAAGATATAGAGATGACGGCAAGACATAGGGTACATATAGATAGGAAAATGATAATAATAAAAAGATAGAGATGACGGAAAGAAAGAGAGTAAACACTGATAGCACAAGAATGAATAAAGATAATAAGAGAAATATATAGAGATGACGGCAAGACATAGGATACATATTGATAGGAAAATAATAATAATAATAAGATAGAGATGACGGCAAGAAAGAGAGTAAACACTGATAGCATAAGAATGAATAAAGATAATAAGAGAAAGATATACAGATGACGGCAAGACATAGGGTACATATAGATAGGAAAATGATAATAATAATAAGATAGAGATGACGGCAAGAAAGAGAGTAAACACTGATAGCATAAGAATGAATAAAGATAATAAGAGAAAGATATAGAGATGACGGCAAGACATAGGGTACATAATTATAGATAGGAAAATGATAATAATAATAAGATAGAGATGACGGAAAGAAAGAGAGTAAACACTGATAGCATAAGAATGAATAAAGATAATAAGAGAAAGATATAGAGATGACGGCAAGACATAGGGTACATATAGATAGGAAAATGATAATAATAATGAGATAGAGATGACGGCAAGAAAGAGAGTATTACACTCATAGCATAATAATGAATAAAGATAATAAGAAAAAGATATACAGATGACGGCAAGACATAGGGTACATATAGATAGGAAAATGATAATAATAATAAGATAGAGATGACGGAAAGAAAGAGAGTAAACACTGATAGCATAAGAATGAATAAAGATAATAAAAGAAAGATATAAAGATGACGGCAAGACAGGATACATCTTTCTTTCATTAGTTTTATTCATTCTTATTCTATCACTGTCTACTCTCTTTCTTGCTGTCATCTCTAGCTCTTTCATTAATTTTTATTCATTCTTATTCTATCAGTCTACTCTCTTTCTTGCTGTCATCTCTATCTCTTTCTTTCATTATTTTTATTCATTCTTATTCTATCACTGTCTACTCTCTTTCTTGCTGTCATCTCTATCTCCTTCTTTCATTTTTTTTATTCATTCTTATTCTATCAGTCTACTCTCTTTCTTGCTGTCATCTCTAGCTCTTTCATTAATTTTTATTCATTCTTATTCTATCAGTCTACTCTCAGGGAACACTTTTATCACTAGAGTCTTCGTCACTGCTCGATTCGTCGGAATCAGAGTCCATGCTCCATGCTTCCATAGTAACAAGATCTCGAGCCTCCTCTACACTAAACACACGTTGACGTTTTCCAGCAGGTGCCATCGTAACATCAGTAAAAAAAATCCAAAGAAAACCGCTAAATACACGGTAATTTCGAATGTAACACTATGAAGAAAAACAGTTTACCGGAAAGTGTGCGATGTATACAATGTAAACAATAGTAAACGCAACGCGTGGCTACACACTGCGAGCGGTATTATGAATGTCTAATTGACTCGTATACATCTGTGCAAAAATGCGAAGTTGGCACGCCTACGTCCGTGCAAATCGGCGAACAAAGCAAACAAAGAGTTAAAGGAATTATGGGAATTGTCCCCATTTTACTCTAAATTTGCGTTCTCGCTCCGATTGAGGTAGAGAAGAGCATTTTTTTTTATTCGCGCTCCAATTTTTGTGCAATTTTTTTTTTTGGAATAGGTTTAAA